ACTGTTGGGATTACAGGCATGAGCCACCACACCTGGTCATGCTTGAATGTCTTTGTGACATGTCAGCTGTCTTCCACAGAGTGAGTCATCCAGGAAGACGAGGGAGAATTCAGGCACAATGCCTCTAATGACTTAGTCTCAGAAGTTACCTCACTTCCACCACATTTTATTTGTTAGAAGCAAGTCATTAAATATAGCTCATACTCAAGGTAGGGGAATTAGGCTCCACCGTTTGAAAGGAGAAGTATCAAAGAATTTCTGCACATCTTTTTTAACTACCACAGCTTCTAATGTTGCTCTGTGACCTAGAATGATTTCTGTAGTGTCCCTGACTCCCCATCTCTCTCTGTCTCTCTCTTTTATTCTAGTTTAATATGCTGTTGAATTGAATAATGTGTTTCTTCCCATCCACTGAGATGTTTAGTTTTAGACACAAATTGTGTCCTCATTCTTTATTCCCTCATACTTAGGGCTGGGCTTTGTTGATGGCAGGTATGGTAGGGGCTGAACTACTTGGAAATCTTACAGGCATGATCCTATATCCATGGATTTGTACTCTGTAGCCCTAGGATCTCCTGGAAGAAGACCGCCTTCTGGGCATCTTCCGCGGATGCCAGACTCTGTCTGTCTCACTGGGTTTCCTCTCCTGATGTGCAATGGGGGCTGCCCCAGCCAAATGAGTGAGTATGTTCCCAGATGTGTCAGCAGTCTGTTAACAAACTCCAGCCACAGCACCATCAGGATCTGCAGAGTAGAGGCCACTGTCTTCTTGGGAAGCACCCCCGCCCTGCCAATGTCTGGGCACAGCTGGGACACGGGGGCTTGGCCATTTCTGCCCAACTGGGACTCTTCTACTGGTGGTGCTTGTACCAGAGCTCCCTGCTGGCTGGCTGAGACTTTTTCAGAGTGGCACTGCGACATGAGGCTCTTCTCAACCAACCCTCTTTCCCCTCTCTTCCCATAGACATCAGATCTGAAACACCGTCCGCAGGCTTTCCCTGCCCCAGTCCTGCTTCCTCCCCTGTATCTTTCATAGGCATTTCTTCTAATAAATCTTTTGCACTTCCAACTCTGGCTTGGCAGCAGCCTCCTAAAGGACCCAGCTGACACCCAGGCCCTGGCCCCTCTCTGGCTGCCAGACCCCAGTTCCCTGGGGCATGAGTTCTCTCTCCTTCACCTCTCCTGAGTGCTCTATTCCCTCTCCCTTCCTCTCTCTTTTGCATGCTGTGTCCAGAGTCTCAACCTGTGCCTGGCACATAATAGACTCAGTAACTCCTTGTTTTGAATAGACACTCTGAAGCCAGGCACTGCCCGCTCCATTCTCCTGGTACAGAGAGCCACAGAGAGGCCCCTGGATAAGGCTGGGAGTGCCAGCTCCATGGGGCAGAGGGAAGGCACCGTTCAGGCTACTGGGGAAGGAAGGCCTGAGACTGGGAGGCTGTGGGAGAGCCAAGGGTCTCCCCCGGGGGAGGCCCTTCCCACATGCCAGGGGAAGTCAGAGCTGGCTTCTCTCTGGATCTGCTGGGTGAGCAAGACACTCCTCTTCTTGGGCCTTACTCCATACCTCCGGACTATGCGATGAGAAGCCCCACCCTGCCTGTCTCCCCAGGGAGGGGTGGGGGTAGTGAGCTGCAGGTGAAGTCATGGCTGGGGAAACATGAATGAGAAAGGGCAGGGCACACAGGGTTAGGGGTTTCCTGTCTGTGTTCCCGGGCCTGCAGTCACCGTGTGGAGGGGACAGAGGAGAGAAGGGAAGAAGAGAGATGGATTAGGAGAGAGGGAGTGCTGGAAACACAGAAGGAGAGAGGGAGAGAGATCCAGATACAGACACACAGAGAGGGAAACAAAGGACAGAGGGAAAAAATGTGACACAGAGAAAAAGGAAATGAGAGCTAGAGACGGTGGTGAGGGAAAAAAAGGAGAGAAGCCGAAAGACACAGCGCAATGGAAGAAGGGAAACTGAGAGATGGGGGAGAAAATGAGGGAGGGAAAGAGAGAAATTAAGAAACCAATGAGAAAGGCCAAGCACGGTGGCTCACACCTGTAATCCCAGCACTTTGGGAGGCTGAAGCAGGAGGATCACAAGGTCAGGAGTTCAAGACCAGCCTAGCCAACATGATGAAACCCTGTGTCTACTAAAAATACAAAAATTAACCAGGCGAGGTGACGGGCACCTGTAATCCCACCTACTTGGGAGGCTGAGGCAGGAGAATTGCTTGAATCCGGGAGGCAGAGGTTGCAGAGAGCTGAGATCATGCCACTGCACTCCGGTCTGGGCAACAGAGAGAAACTCCATCTCAGAAAAGAAAGAAAGAAAGAAGAAAGAAAGAAGGCAATGGGAAAAGAAAGTGAAAGAGAGAGAAACACAGAGAGATACTCACAGAGATGGAAGGGCAGACACATGAAAAAGAGAAATAGGGAGGTAAGAAAGTAGAGAGAGAGAGAGAGAGAGAGAGAGAGAAAGAGAGAGAAGGGTGCAAGCAGAGGAGAATGAAGCAGAATAGGGCAATGAAAAACTGTAAAGAGAGAGGAGAGAGAAATGGAGAGAGAAAATCAGATGGAGGGTTACAGAGGGAAACAGAAAGATGGAGAGAAGCAGAGAGGGAGGAGGAAAAAAGAAATATGAGAATTGGCTGGGCGCGGTGGCTCACGCCTGTTATCCAAGGATTTTGGAGGCCAAGGCAGGCGGATCACCTGAGGTCGGGAGTTCAAGACCAACCCGACCAACACGGTGAAACCTCATCTTTAAAAGAAAGAAAGAAAGATGAGAATCAAAGCCAGAGAAAGAGACCAAGAGACACAGAGGGATGGGAGAGATGCTAAAAAGGGCACAATATATGCCGGGGGATGGCAAAAGACAGGGATAGATGATCACACAGGGAGGAATGAGGAACCCTGCCCCTCCTTCTCTCATGAACCCCACCCCTATTCCCCACTGGGACCCAACATGCACCCTGCCCCACCTGGACATGTAGAGACTCAGAAGAAAGCCTCAGGCCCCCTTCGTCTGCAGGACCCAGGCCTTCCTGTCCTGCTGGTTTGGTCCCGCTGCTCTGGGGCCTCTGAGGGGCACCCCAGTGTGTCCTGTGGCTGACTGATGTGTCTCTGGGTGGAGTCTGGACAGAAAGCTTAGTGACACCCTCCCTTGAAGCCTGGGCAAGCCCCAGCCCGATGCTCTTGGAACCCAGATTGGAAAAGACATCAAAGGTCAACTCAACTGTACCTCTCACTGTACACAGGGGGAAACTGAATCTCAGAAAGGGACAGGGACAAGCCTGGAGTGACCCAGGCAGGTAGTGTCCTGGCCACTGTTCCCACAGTCGCCATCTAGCCCGAGCGCTCAGATATCACAGATGCTGTGGCCCCAAAACCTTGGAACATGCTTTCTCCTGAATAAAGGGCTCCCCACCCAGAGGTATACTGAGGCTTTAGTGACGGTGTTTTGGGTGCCAGGAACTGTGCTGGGAATCTTACCCAACATCCTGTGAATGACTACTGTGATTATGCCCATGATACAGATGAGGAGACTAAGGCTCAGAGAAGTTAAGACTTCTAAGCCTAGGGTCAATGCGGAAACCCAAGCTGGATCTGTCTGACCTCAGAAGCTGGGCTCCTGGTATGATACCTCCCAGCCTCCCCAGGTGATGGGCAGGGAAGGGCTCGGTAACACAGAAAATGGGGCAGAGGTGGGTGGCACTTTCTATGATGGGAGAAAGTCCCAGCATGATGGGACTCACCTTTGTTCAGCTGTGTCCTTGCCCTTGGGAACCCCAAGTCTCTCTACCTCCTCTGCCACCATTTGCTCTACGCCAAGCCCCGTTTCTCAACCTCTGGGGAGAATGGGCTTGGCCCCCACCCTCTTTCCCTTCTCTTCATTCTACCCAGCTATGACCCTTTGAGCCGCAGGCCCAGGCTGGTTCTGAAGCTACAGAGATGGACCTGCCCACTCTGCGGCCCCCTTCCCCCTCTGCCACACAGTGAGCTCCCCCTCCCCAGCTCTGTCCCTGGCTTTGCCTCATTGGGGCTCATCCCCCTGGAATAGACTCAGACAGAACCTGGGGCAGGGGGAGGTTGGAGAAACAGCAGGCTGGTGGACAGATGGATGACAGCCAAGTCACTGTCCTGGCCAGCTGTGATCCCAGCCAGACCTCCCGAGAGCTGCACTCCCAGCCTCTAAGCCCTCCCCAGCTGGAGCTTGTCACCTGGGGTTTTTCCACCCTCCCTGAGTCTCAGTTTCTTCATCTGCACAATGGGTGTAAGCACCCTGGCCTTACTAGATGGTTGGAAGCTGGACTTTGGGACCCAGGAATATAGCCCTGGGTATAGCCCCTTCCTGATGGAGAACTTCCTGCTGCATGGGGAACATATGATGCCTGCTGTGCCCCCCAGGTGTCTGGGGATGGAGGTGGCCGCAGACATAGACCCTGGGCCACTCTCTGCTACTCTGGGGACCACAGTTCCTTCAAATCCAGAGCATCAGCCCTGCTTTATATGGTTCTCAAGGCCTGCTCCCGCTGTGTCTCCTCCAGTTATCAGATCAGGAGGGTTGCTTTTAGGCCAGGCTCGTGCTCGGAGTCCTGGGAAGTGGGGAGCCCCGGGGCCCTGTCCCCTGAGCATACCAAGAGCCTTTCTAAGAACCAGGACTTGGCCAGGAAGCACCCCAGGTGGCATTCCCTTTCCCAGAAGCCTTGGGAGCTCCCAGGCTGGTGGCTTCAGAGCCCCAGCCCTGCCCTCACCTCCTTCACTCAGCCCTGGCAAAGGTCCATGGCCCCTTGCCAGCCTGATGGAGATGGGTGCCACCACTGTGGTAAGGGTGACGAGGGTGGGATCTAGGGCACTCCCCAAAGCTCCTGAACCCTCTTCCTTTCCTTCAAGGAGATGTGAAAGCCCCTGTCTGGTCCCCACCCCACACACAGCCTAAGGCTTTGGCTCCCAGTCCCCATCCAGGCAGGGCTGGCAGCAGGTGACTGGAGCTGAGAAGGGCAGGGAGAGTAGGGGCGTGGGCCCTGAGGAAGTGCACTCCTCAGCCAATCAGCGCCCTGCCAGGCCGGTGGATTCGGTTACAAGCCCAAGATCACCCCACACTCCAGCCTCTTTCCTCCTCCTCCCCCCCCCGCAGCTCCATTCATTGGTCCCGCCGCCGCCGCCGCACTGGGCCTGCTGGACTCTGCTTCCGTCCCACCGCTCAGCTGCTGCCTCGTGGGGCCACCAAGGGCAGGCATCCCAGGGGCTTTGTCTTACTGGGCTGGGCCAGTGCAGAATGCGGGTTCTGGCAGGGCTGTTCAAGATGCTGGGCTTCCTGGGGGTGGCCCTGGGGAGCTCCCCTGCCCTCTATTGGCACAGCACCTCCTGCCACTTGGCCAAGCCCATCCCTGGCAACCCCCTGGGGTCCCTGAGTTTCCTGGCCAAGGATGCCCAGAGACTGGTCCTGATCCATGCCCACTGGGATGCGCATAGGAGGCTGCAGGCATGTAGCTGGGAGCATGAGCCAGAGCTCACTGCAGCCTACAGTGCCCTCTGTGCTCATCAGACTGCCCGCGGCTCCTTCACCCACACCCCTGGACCTGAGCTGCAGAGAGCACTGGCCACTCTTCAGAGTCAGTGGGAGGCATGCCGAGGGCCTGAGGAGAGTCCAGCAGGGGCCAGGAAGAAGCGAGCAGCTGGGCCGAACGGAGAGCCTGGTGGAGGGCACCAGCGAGAGAAGAGAGGATGGACCATGCCTGGCACGCTGTGGTGTGGACTTGGAGACTCTGCTGGGAACTCCTCGGAGCTCGGTGAGCCATAGGGGTGTGTGGGTTTGGGGATCTGGTCGGGGAAGCAAGGTTTCTTCAGCTCTAGCCCTTACTCTCCTAGGCTGTGTGTCCTTGGGAGAGTGACTTGACCACAGTGAACCTCAATTTCCTTATCTGTAAAGTGGGAATAACCATGAATCTCATCATAGGGTGCTTAAATGAGGTCATGGTTGGGGAAAGTCTTATTCAAACCTGGGAGTCCTCATTAAATACTATCTGAGGGAGTCAGCAGGCTGCCGGGGTAGGGGGAGATCCAGGTTCAACTGAACCAAAAAGCCATTACCCAGGAAGAGGCTTTATGGGCACAAGGTGCCCAGCAAAATGGATGCTGAGACCAAAGGCTTGGGTTCAAATTCCACCTCAGCACATACAAGCTGAGCAAGTCACTTCTCCTCTTTGAACCTATTTCCTCACCTGTAAGATGAAGGTGATACCTTCTTTTCGGGACTGGCTGTGAGCCTGGACGTGGGAAGTGCCAGGCATGCGGGAAATGCTTAGTAAAGACTGCTCTTGCTTACATGGTAATAAACATAGATGAATTTCGTGCACTCTCAGTACAGCTGTCTGTGCATTTGTGTGCAGGGTCGGGGGAGGACTTGGCACCTGACTCAGAGCAGGTTGGCATCCTGTGGCAACACCTCCTTGTGCCAGTGAGAAAGGTTGCACCCTGCCTGTTTGCCATTCCATTCATAATTTTGGCATTTTACTTGGGGCATGGGCTTGGGAACTCTGGAGGCAGAGTCTATTTCCCCCGAGGAAGACCTTTCCATGCCTTTATGGGTGGGCTGCCTGGCATCTAGAGTTGCCCAACAGGAGCTGCAGTTTGGGTTCTCTTTTCCAGCTTTGAAACTCTGACAGTCCCACAGAAGGGCGAGTTATTGGTCTGAGGACCCCCATGGCGTTTGTGTCAGGGCTGGGGTGAGGTCTCTGCCTTCTTGCTCCTGGGGTGGGCATAGCTGGTGTGTGATGCCTAGGACCCTGCTGAGCTAGTGCCCCCTCCCCTCCCTGCAGGGGTCTTCCAGGGACCTGACCTCTGTTGCCGGGAACACGACCGCTGCCCGCAGAACATCTCACCCTTGCAGTACAACTATGGCATCCGAAACTACCGATTCCACACCATCTCCCACTGTGACTGTGACACCAGGTTGGTGGCAGGCAGCGAGGCCCCAGAGCTAAGGGACAGGGCGGGGTTACGCAGTTCCTGGGTAATCCTAGACTTTGGGATTGCAGAGGATCCTCAAGCTCAGCCAGCTTGGACCCCACAGTGCAGGTAGGAAAGCTGAGGCCGGAGAGAAGGGATGCTTGGACCCCAAACCACCAGCTGGGTAGTGGCTGGGTGGACTGGGGGAAGAGCCAGACAGCCCTCCGTGCCCCAGAGTCCTGTCCTGAGTGTCTGCTCTGGGGCAGGTTTCAGCAATGCCTGCAGAACCAGCGCGACTCCATCTCGGACATCGTGGGCGTGGCCTTCTTCAACGTGTTGGAAATTCCCTGCTTTGTGCTGGAGGAGCAGGAGGCGTGTGTGGCGTGGTACTGGTGGGGCGGGTACGTGGCCATCCCCTTAAGTCCCTTTCCAGACAGAGAGGGAGCCAGGGTCCAAGCCTGGTGAGGGAGGCCTATCCGTCTGTCTTCTAGGGAATGATGTTCCATCTTGCATGTCCTCGGAATGCAGACCCTCCTTGGGTATCCGCCATGACCCGGTGGGATGGGGAATGGGACTGGCAGAGCATTGATCTCCATGGAGGTGACCCTGGGGGCTTCTGAGAGGGGGAATTCCTAGTCCCTTATTGCCACCAACTGCCGCCCCCCAGGTGTAGGAAGTATGGCACGGTGCCCCTCGCTCGCCTCCAGCCCAGGACCCTCTACAATGCCTCCTGCAGCTCCCAGACCACTTCCCCAACTCCCAGCCCCCAGAGCCCAGCCTCTCCCAAGCCTGGACAGAAGCAGCACCTTTGGAAATGGCCTCCACAGCAGAAAGGGTCCAAGCACCCCAGCAAAGCCAGCACCACAGCCCTCCAAGACCGTGTGGTCTCTCCTGGACTTGATGTAGCCCTCACAGGCTTCCAGGTCTCACAGGGTGGACTAAAACTTCAGGGTGAGCTCAGAACTTAACCCTGGGGTTCCCGGCATGAGGGGTTGTCCCTGCCTCTGTTTGGGGGTGGCCATGTATTGCCTGTTCTCCTGCCCCAGTTGCCTCCTGGGATCTCCCAACCTCTCCTATCAAATCACACTGCAGCATGGGATTTTCATAACCCATGAATTTGACCACATCTTGTTTGCCCCAGTGTGCACCCACCACCACGCCTCTTTATCTTAGCCAGTGATGTCCCAACACTCACAGGCCCTCAAGCCTTGGCCCCGCAGACCCTATCTACCCCCGGTCAAAACTCTTGTTTCACAAATTTCACTTGGTTCCTCAAAAGCAGCAGGCTCTCTCCTACCACGAGGCCTTTGCACATGCTGTTCCTCCTCTCCTCCTCTTCTTTCCCAGCCACAGTTTAGCAGCCTCTGCCTCCTGGAAGCCTTTCTTGGCTACTGTCAGTCTCTGGGCATCCCCCATGCAGCACTGCTGTGTTTAGGGGGCTGGGGGTAGGGAGGCACTCCCATAAGGGCAGCACACTGAGAGCACAAAGACCCCATCATGAAATGGAGGGAGATTTCGTGTGTGACTGAGCACATGTGCTAGTGTTTCTCCTGGATGGCACAGGCATTGGTGGGGCCTCCCTGGTGGACTGGGCTCCCATCAATACCACACCCATCCCTCAGGTGCCCACCGCGTCTGCCGCAGCTTCCGCCGCCACCTGGACCAGTGTGAGCACCAGATTGGGCCCCAGGAAACCAAGTTCCAGCTGCTCAACGGTGCCCATGAGCCCCTCTTCCACTGCAACTGCACACGCCGGTGAGTCCCCTTTGAACCCTTAGGGGTGGACTGCCAGCTGCTGGGCATGGGAAGGGGCCCCTTGCTGGTGAGGCCTTAACCCTGTCTGAACCTGCCTCTGTTCTCAGTCTGGCACGTTTCCTGAGGCTGCACAGCCCACCCGAGGTCACCAACATGCTTTGGGAGCTGCTGGGCATGACCTCCTGCTTCAAGCTGGCCCCTCCACTGGACTGTGTGGAAGGCAAAGAGTAAGTGACGTCAGAGCCAGGAGGGATGATGGGCTTTTCTCAAGGGGAGGGTTGCCTATACCCACTTTGAGTATCCGAGCAAAGGAGGAAACGGAAGGGATTGGGGGACCTCTGTGCCCCCATCCCCGGCCTCAAGCCTCCATCCCTGCCTGCCCCAGGTCCAGCTCTGCAGTTGGCCTCTGTGGGTTGCATCTTGACTGTGTCATTTGATTCCCACCTGACTTTGGCAATTGGTTTACCTTTCCAGGCTTCCATGTCTTTGTCTGTAAAATGGTTGTGGGAGCCAAGGAAATGGCACAAAGCACATAGGTCATGCCCTGTCTGGCACACAGCAAAATGTATGCTTAACTCTTACTCCTAATCCACAATCTCATTTGGTCTTGAACTCCTGGACTCAAGTGATCCTCCCACCTCGGCCTCCTGAAGTGTTGGGATTACAGGTGTGAGCCACTGTGCCCTGCTTTCATTTGGATTCTGATTCTCAAAGCCAGCTCCTTCTTAACTCTCCCATTTCATAGAGGAGGAAACTGAGGCTTCTGGCTTGGGTTTCCATAGTCAGCTAGTGGAAGAACCCAGGCCTCCAGGTACCAGCCCAGGTTTATTACACCCTTTCTCGGTGAAACCCACTCCTCTCTGCCTTGCTGCTGACTCTGGCCCCAGCACTCTCTCTCTCTCTCTGGGCCTCAGCCCCGCTGTCTGCAGAGTAGAGTGGGATCCTTGTCAGCCCTGATCGTCTGCCCCATTCTTCTCTCTTTACAGCTGTTTCAGAGATCCTAGGGCCATCAAGGTGGCAGCCCGGCACTTGCGGAGGCTTCAGCAGAGGCGACGCCAGCACCAGGATAAAAGCACAGACGAGAAGCAGGCATGGCCTTCAGAGCCCTGGAGAGGCCCCGTGTCATTCCACAACCAATGCCTGCAGCTAACCCAGGCAGCCAGGAGAGCTGACAGGCAGAAATCCTGGAGCCAGTGACCTGTTTCAGCTTTCCCGGGCACCATCCTGGACCTTGCCCGAGGCTTTGCCAGACCCTAGGAATCCCGGCCTCCTCTCCATAGGTTAGACTGAAGCATGGTAGAAGCTCTTGTGGACAATCAGGAGGCGGAATGGGGGCGGATCTCAAGGCCCAAATGCTGGACGACCGTGTCTCCTGCTGTGCTGGGTGACCTTGAGCTGAGACACAACTCTTTTGTGCCTGGACGTGGTGTTCAGGAAGCTCATTCTGATGCCCTGGGCTTTGGCCTTGACGGTGAGCATCACATACAGATGGGAATGAGGAAAGGGTAACTTATTGCAGCAGCCCCAGGCAGTACCAGGAGGAGGTACATATGTGTCCATGTTGCAAAAATAATCCATGCCTCAAAAACCTGTCTAGGGGAGCCCCAGTGCCTGGCTGTTGTGGCCTGGGGTAGCAGGTGGGAAGTTAGGGATGTCACAGAAATGTCTGTGTCTGAATCCAGGATTGGGGTGGATGTTGGAGAGGGCTTCTCCTCCCCAGGGCAGCCCCTTCTTTTAAGCTGATGTGCCCTTCCTGGCCCAGCCCTAAACCTAAATTCAAATCTCCTCCGTGCCTTGGTACAAGGGACCTCCCTCTTACACTCTAAGCCTTAGTTTCTGCCTCTGAAAAAAGGGGGTCTCTAAACAGGAGCTACCTCATAGGTTTGTTGAGGATTAAGTGAACCAATACATATATCACACTTAGCACTTAGCACATATTCCCTCCCACCACAACTAGCTGAACTGTGGTTTGGTGTCTGATTTTGAGGGGTTGATGAGGCCTCTTAAAAGCCTCAATTTGCTCACTTGTGAAATGGGTCTAAGAATAACACTGAACCCACAGGATTGTGGTGCAGATTAAAAGAGATGGCATGTAGAATGCATTCAGCTGGTGCCTGGTAAATGTCAGTTCTGTCATTCCCTTACCTCTTTTAGTCCCTGCCTCTGACTACCCCCATCCTAAGACTGCTAACAAGTAGAAAAGAGCCAGGAGTGAGGCTGGAGAATTTAATTCCTAATGGATGATCTCCAGGATTGGGACATCTGCCAGAGCTCCACCATCATCCCAGATGGGGGCCTGGGCGGGGCTTTGCTAATTGTCACAGTTGAGGTGCCAGGACTGAGTTTTGGGGGATCCCAGCTGTCCACCCCTGGCCAGGACAGAGTGGCAGGTGCAGATACAGCTGGAGCAGCAGCAGGAGAGAGGCAGGTGGGTTTGCAAAAGATTGAGGCAGAATGGTGGTCACCTTGGCCCATCTGCCTACCCAATCCTCAGGGCCCCAGGCCCCCTTCCTCCAGCCCCCGATGGCCCTGGGGACTGGGAGACAGGCTGTTGGGGACCGGGGCCTCCCGATCAGGTCCCCAGGAACCGCCACCACCAGGGTCTACAGTCTCTAGGCGAAAGGCGGGCAGCAGGCCCAGGCTTCGAGGCACAGCTGGTGGGAAGGCCCAGGGGCCAGGCAACCCAGCGGGCCCCTCTTCACTACTGCCCCGGCTACTGCCATCACTGCTCCTGTCAGGAGCCACCCGGGACAGGCAGCGGCTCTGGGGTGAGGGGCTCCGGCTGGCACCACGGCGTTCACGTGATGAGGGCCGTAGGGCAAGACCAGGGAACCTGGCCAGTCCCGGGCTGCGGCTGCGGTGTCGCTTGGACTTGCCAGGGCTGGGGCTGCGGGACTTGGGTGCGAGGAGCTCCAGTGTGCTGTCGTCCTCTCCCTCTGAGCTGGTGCCTGAGCTGTCTGTGCTGCTGCTGGCCGACTCCGAGGTAGGGAGCGAAATCTGAAAGAAATGTGGTCACTGCTCTCCAACCTGACCTCCCAAGGTCTGCCTCTCTCACTGGCACATCTTGGGAGGTTAGGTGATTTGTCTGAGCTCAAGGAGCAAAATGTAGGGGATGTGGCATTTAAAAGATGTCTTGAGGCACCCCCAGCCCAGCACTCTGGCCACTTACCTGGAAGGGTTCAGTGACGCCGATAAGGATGCTGAGGTTGTGGCTGTAGTAGCCCAGGATGAAGTCTCCATGGCCCTTGGGCAGTGACTCCTCACTGAATGTTACCTGGTGGGCCCAGGGGTACAGGCCCAAGTTGGGATCAGGAAGGCCACCTGAGAGCCCCCAAGCTGAGTCCTGAGGTCCCAAGGGCAACAAGGACTTCCCCGGCCTTTCCCACTCCTTTTAAGTACCTGGTAGGTATTCCCGTCCACATCTTCATGTTTGGCCCACACATAAGCCACGTAGTCCTTGCAATGGCGGAAACCCACCTGGGGGATCAGTGTCGTAGAATCAGTGTTGTGATCCTCTAATGTCTGATGCAGCAGTCTCCCAATGTGGCATCAAAATCTGGACAAGCCATAACCCCACCATGCTGTCCAGCTGCTCCTCCAATCCCCTTTCTTCCCTGAGCCGCTGACTCCCACTGCCCCTCTCACCCGGTACAAGCCGATCCAGTCCCAGGAGCTGCGCGCGAACACTGTTTCCATGCGGTACCTCACCACTGCCTGCTCGGGCCGCACCCACTCATCTGCCACCTCCAGCCGCACCAGTGGCATGTCGTCCCTGAAGGCAAACTGTCCAGGCAAGGCAGGGGCAGGGGGTCACATCAGGGAAGACCCTCTAGTATTCCACACACTTAGGGCTCTTGGGCCTTAGCACAAATTTCCTGACAAAGGGCTTTTGAGGCCACTTTACAGACTGGGAAATTGAGGCAGAACAGGTCTAGTATAAATACCAAGCCCTGTGCAGCCTCCCAATCCAGGGCTCCTTCTGCCCACAGGCTCGTTAGGGAGTGAGAACATAGCTTTGAAGTTAGCAGACTCTGGATTTGACTCCGGCTCTGCCATTGACAGGCTGGGTGAGTTCCTCAGCCTCTCTGAATGCCAGGGCCCTCATCTGTAATCTCAGAGACTCTTTTTTATTGAGATGGAATCTTGCCCTGTCACTCAGGCTGGAGTGCAGTGGTGTAATCTCAGCTCAATGCAACCTCCTCACTGCCTGGCTAATTTTTGCATATTTAGTAGAGGTGAGGTTTCACCATGTTGGCCAGGCTGTTCTTGAACTCCTGACCTCAAATGATCTACCCACCTCAGCTTTCCAAAGTGCTGGTATTACAGGCATGAGCCACCGCACCCGGCTAAACTCAGAGACTCTTATTTTACTCTTGGAGTTATTCAGCAGATTCAGTGAGATACCATTTGTAAAGCATCCCATAAATACCCCAGTATACCAGTAAGTGCTCAATAAATGATTTGTCTCTATGCTAGCAAGGAAGACCCGTAAAGTCCTATGACGTACTGGGTATTTTGGGGTAAGCTGAATATTCCCGAGCAGGCAAGAAGAGCTCTGGGTGGGAGGATGGAGACCTCAGTCCATTTCCAGGCTCTACCACTAACTTGCTATGTGACCTCAGGCCAGGCTCCAACCATCCCAAGATTCAGTTTCTCCAACTGAGTCTAAGTACTAAGTGGCTACTAACTATTACCTTGTCATCAGTCCATGAAGGAAAGTTATAACCATGCGTATCCTTACCCCAAGATCAACCTAGACCAACCAGAGGCACCACCTGAATGGGTGGAGCTGCTGAGGTGGCAGGCTGCCAGTATATTGGCCCACCTCTGTCCTTCAGGGAAGGGCTCAGGTGGTGCCAACCTCAGATCTTTGTCTCTTCCCCTTTTTACCTAGTTTCAGGTTTCTCTCGCTCAGCTTCTAAGCCGAGCTGTTCCAGAAGTAGCTGGCACATTCTTTCCCTGTTCCTGAGTTCCTAAAAGCAGGGGCTGGCAAGGGTAGACCTTTGAAAATGCCCTCCAAGGCCTTGGGGTGTCAAAACCCTACTAAGCCCTATTCTGACTGCATTGCCTTGGGTAAGAAACTTAAGTTCTCTGAGTCTCACTTTCCCTCACAGTAAAACAAGGAGGTAAGTTGGGGCATCTCGGGGCCTACTGAGGCATTCAAAGGGATGACATATGTAAAGTGTGCTACATGGGGCCTGGCATGTAGTAGATATTCAATGGGAATTTTTTGGGGGATGGAGTCTTGCTCTGTAGCCCAGACTGAAGTATAGTGGCATGATCTTGGCTCACTGCACTCTGCCTCCTGGGTTCAAGCAATTCCCCTGCCTCAGCCTCCCGAGTAGCTAGGACTACAGGTGCATGCCACCACGCCTGGCTAATTCTTGTATTTTCACTAGAGATGGGGTTTCACTATGTTGGCTAGGCTGGTCTCAAACTTCTGACCTTGTGATCCACCCACCTCAGTCTCCTAGAGTGTTGGGATTATAGGCCTGAGCCACTGTGCCTGGCTGTGAAATGTTTTTAAAGGAACAAAGTCCTGGAGGGGCAGGAAGGACAAGGTGGATTATCAAAAGAAGTGTTTTTCCAGGTGAGGTTCCTGATTGCAGGTTAAATCTTCATGCCCAACCCTTTTGCCAGAGGTCATGGCAGGCCAAGCATGGGCATATTTCCATTCTCAGCTAAAGACATTGGCCAATGTCCCAGTGACTGGCCACGTGACAGAGTTACCAGGAAAAAACATTTTCTGGCCTCTACCGGGCTCCCTGTCATCAGATCAAGAGACTTGAAGAGCCCAGAGTTGGGGTTCAGGGCTGAAAAGATGGGACCTACCCTGCTCTGCCACTGCAGAACCTGTGTATGGTTTGGGGCATGTGCCTACCCCACGAGGAGCCTTTGATCTCAACAGAGAAAAACAGGGAGTGGACTACATGGTCTCACAGGTCTGGTTCTGACATTCCAGGATTTCCCCTTTTGATGTCAGCAACCAGAAACCTCAATCCTAAATACAATACTAAATTATAGTAACTACTTAAGAGTTCAGCTTTGTATTTTTTATATCTTTGCTCTCTCTCCCCATCACTACACACTCTCATAATGCTCGGCATATGGTAAGACAGTAAGTACTCAGTAAATAACGAATGAATGAATATGAATGAATGTTACGTGGAGTTTGATTTTGCTGGTCTTATTATATATGTGAATTTTTATATCTTTTCTTTTTTATTTTTAAGATACTAGTAGTGAAAAAGATGATGTATATGTGAATTTTTTTTCTTTTTTTTTGAGACGAGGTCTTGCTCTGTTGCCTAAGCTGGAGTGCAGTGGTATGATCACGGCTCATAGCAGCCTAGATTTTCCAAGCTCCAGTGATCTTCCCACATCAGTCTCATAAACAGCTAGGAATACAGGTGTGTACCACCTAGCTAAATTTTATTTGTATTTGTATTTGTATTTTTTCCCGGAGACACAGTCTTGCGCATGTCACCCAGGCTGGAGTGCAGTGGCCCGATCTTGCTCACCGCAACCTCCACCTCCCAAGTTCAAGTGATTCTCTTGCCTCAGCCTCCCGAGCAGCTTGGATTATAGGCATGCACCATCATGCAGAGCTAACTTTTGTATTTTTAGTAAAGACAGAGTTTCCCTGTGTTAGCCAGGCTAGTCTCAAACTCCTGACCTTATGGGATCCACCAGCCTCGGTCTCCCAAAGTTCTGGGATTACAGGTGTCAGCCACCATGCCCAGCCTTTAAAAATTTTTTTTTTAGCGATGAGGTCTCACTATGTTGCCCAGGCTGCTCTTGGACTCCTGAGCTCAAGCGATCCTTCCATCTCAGCCTCCCAAAGTGTTGAGATTATAGGCATGAGCCACTGCACCAGCCTACAAGGGAATTTTAACATAAATTACCCTAAACCTTTCTCAAAAGATGGGAGTCAGAGATTAGTAGAAAAGGCATGGGCTCCAAGGCTGGGCATGGTGGCTCATGCCTGTAATCCCAGCACTTTGGGAGGCCAGGGTGGGTGGATCACCAGAGGTCAGGAGTTTAAGACCAGCCTGGCCAACATGGTGAAACTCCATCTCTACTAAAATGCAAAAATTAGTTG